GTATCCAAAGAGCAACTATAGATAGAGAACTCCCTCCCAGTTCAACATGGCAATCAGTGCAGGTGGTATCCAAAGAGCAACTATAGATAGAGAACTCCCTCCCAGTTTAACATGACAATCAGTGTAGGTGGTATCCAAAGATCAACTATAGATAGAGAACTCCCTCCCAGTTTAACGTGGCAATCAGTGTAGGTGGTATCCAAAGAGCAACTATAGATAGAGAGAACTCCCTTTCAGTTTAACGTGGCAATCAGTGCAGGTGGTATCCAAAGAGCAACTATAGATAGAGAACTCCCTCCCAGTTTAACGTGGCAATCAGTGCAGGTGGTATCCAAAGAGCAACTATAGATAGAGATCTCCCTCCCAGTTTAACAGCTTTGGGCTTCAGAAGCCGTGTTTGTGAGTATGATTTTATGGCTCTTTGAGGAATAAACAAGCCTGATAATATCATTTATTTTGATTCAGACACTTTAACAAATGTCAGTGATAACTTTAAGGATATATATATTAAAATTATGACTACAAATGAATAAATGAAGTAATGGTTTGCTTGTTGCTTCGCTCAGCAATATTCCAGCTATATAGCGGCGGTCTGTAAATAATGAAGTCTGGACCAGACAATCGACTGATCAACATCATGATCATCGATCTACGCAATTGGGAACCGATGACATGTGTCAACCAACCGATCCCGTTAGTCGCCTCTTAAAATGTAGATTTGAAGAAACTTAATGGAGTGGTTTGCTCTAAAACAGCATGGAGCAAAAGGAACAAATCTCACTTTGAAATGGAAATATGAATGACAAACGCTACTATGGCTGGCTACATCACCAGATCGCTTGACATCACTGTTCTGCCATGGCTGGCTACATCACCAGATTGCTTGACATTACTGTTCTGCCATGGCTGGCTACATCACCAGATCGCTTGACATTACTGTTCTGCCATGGCTGGCTACATCACCAGATTGCTTGACATTACTGTTCTGCCATGGCTGGCTACATCACCAGATCGCTTGACATTACTGTTCTGCCATGGCTGGCTACATCACCAGATTGCTTGACATTACTGTTCTGCCATGGCTGGCTACATCACCAGATCGCTTGACATTACTGTTCTGCCATGGCTGGCTACATCACCAGATTGCTTGACATCACTGTTCTGCCATGGCTGGCTACATCACCAGATTGCTTGACATCACTGTTCTGCCATGGCTGGCTACATTTTGATTGATAAGTTTTGACCTATGAGGTTCGGGGTTAGAATTCTTCAGCAGCCCGCTCTTGTCGTGAGCGGTTTGGATGGATCCGGTGGTCAGGTTCGCTGACTTGGTTGATGCATGTCTTCGTATCCCAGTTAATTGATGCTCATGAGATCACCTGATTGTCTGGTCCTGACTCGGATTATTTTTCTACCGAACGTCATCATATAGGTAGAATGACGCACACAGTGACACTAAACCGACAGTGAAACAAGCAACAAGGGTGTCGTTCATGTTATGCCTAATTTCAATACACTGCGACGCATCACAGTGTGCGTGGAGGCGTTAACATGGACACCATGTAGGTCTACAGATTTCAGACAGCAGTCTCAATCTTATAACCAAAATCATTATCAAAAATTCCAAACATGAGACTTTTGTCGGAGGACACTTCTGGGTTTATTAGTATTTGTCATTCTGGCTATAGGTACATAACGGTTTTATACACACTAGTCCGCCAATCAGATTGATCACTGGATTTTGTGGTCGAGACACGATTATTTACAAGCCGCCGCCACAGAGTGCTGCGTTAAAAACAACAAACTAGTCGCCTATCAGAAATGCTGAGACGACCTCATATGTCCAGTTTCATCGTCCCTCGACATCTGTCCCCATTCACATCTCTCCACACTAAGAATTCTGAATCACTAACCCTTCAGTATACAGAGAATGTTTACACTGTCAACACAGGGGTTTTCTCATAAATCGTATAATCTACATTTCAGATATACGATTTGAGTCTTCCACAGGAAAGTACAGGATGACTTATCAGTTACTAGAGAAGAAGCGCAAGTTTTTGTTTCCAGGATTCAGGCTCCTTTACGTTGTTTTCATTACTAGCACAGTCTCAGTGTCATTGCTCGGGGATGCCTGCCTCTTGGGGTGTTCAGTTGCTTTGTGTATTCTGTTAATTTGTATTTGAAGACATATCTACCAGGCCATCAGCATGAAAGAATCCTGAATTGTTTTGGGTGGTTTGCTCATAAATTGTAATGCCAGTATTTCATGACTGGCTATTACTGACTGCATGTCCATCTGGCTCTTGAGTTCCACCGACATAAACGACATTTTGTTTTAAACTATGATGATAACTATGATCTCTTGCGTTTAATGGCGCAAACATAAGGCCTGGATCCACAAAGCCTTGGTCACATTAAGGCCTACCATAAGGGGAGCCTCTGAGGTGGTCTGATTCTCTGCGGTGGTACACAGTTTACCTCAACATTCACACCCAGTATCTTTAAGTCACAGTCAGGTGTCACAAATATCCGTTTATTTGTGTGAGAAAAGAGAGTGTTGTAAAATTTTGTGCAGAATGACTTAAAACCTCTGTGTATTGGCAAATGAATTGTGTTTGCTTTTCAGGTATCCTTATTGTGATACGTACTGGGAACTGAAGTGTTTATCAGTGAGTGAAACTGAATGTACAGGCAGATACTGGATGTCTATATATTGGCCCTTTTCCTTTTTATACAACTTATTGCGTGGACTGTGTGTCGTTTTGTCAATCAGATACGAAGAAAACATCGACTGTAAACGAAACCATAGAGACAAACACAAAACTTCCTACATGCTTTTACCCAATATACTCGTTCTGATAAAACATAATGCAATACGTATTGTGATAAAACGGTGTAACTGACACTGAGACATTGTGACATTGAAGACGGGGCATGCTAGGATGTTGTCAGTGTATTTACTGTCGAGGGTTAGCAAGGCGTGGGAGGTAGGGCCGAGTGAACTGACAGTATAGACCACACAAACAAATATTTGGGTTTCTGTGAAGTCAAGCTTGTCACAAATTCCTCAAATTTCAGAATATAAACGCTTCTTCTTCACAGGGTGGAAGCGCTGTCCACGCGAAATGTGGAGTAAGCAACTTCATTTCCTCGTTGGACACTGAAAGAAGAACACGTGGCGCAAGAGTAATGGTAAGTTTTCCCTCGCATTTTCATTATTCTGCAAGTATATCAGGTTTAGCCATTTGGCAGACGGGTCTAGAAATTTACAGATCTTTCTATAATAGCTTCAGACCCTCTCTATTTATTGCAATTGCGCGATAAGCGAGGGCACACTCCTGAGTGTCGAAACAACATCGCGGAAAATGATCGTTTCAACACGAAATATGACAACCTCATCAGCATTCACGCCTTTTTGGCTGTCAATTCTGAGATATAATTGTTTTAGATCTTCATTCACAGTTTAGGCTTTAATGCGTCAGTATTTTTTCAGTTATCGTCGAAAAACCAAACTGTACATTTTATATGGAGTTTAGCAAACAAACTGTCTATTGCATTGTGATTTTACTGTCCAGGAGTTGACAGTTTGTAGTTTTAACCGTCATGTCATCAAACGTTATTCTAGAGATATTTGTTGTGAAGAAGAATGTTTTGTTGTAGATCTGTTGTGAAGATGAATGTTTTGTTGTAGACCTGTCTACCTGGCGTATTTTGGCGTATTCATTACGATTTTGTACCATCAAGTACGATTGTACACCCACATTGCAGCTTGTACCCTGACAGGGATTTAATGTAGAAAAAATCATGTACGATCAGAAGTGTATTAACAAATATACAAATATACATCTACCTCAGGAATAACCAAGTCATGCGCCCCGTTTCACAAAGCTCTCGTTAGCCTAAAATCTCATAACTTTTCTTGTAGCATTCGTACGTACTTTACTGTAACAATGACTTACGATATCGCTACGAGAGCTTTGTTAGCCCAGGTTATTCCAAAGTATGTACATTGTTCATACTATCATTCAGATATTAGTATTGCATATTCGAGTAAAGCACATCACTAAGCATATGATGAGCGAAATCAAATGCAATAATGACTTCCTTTGTTCCCACCGGTGGCACCAGCGATATGGACAATTCAATGGCCGTTGTTTGGTCAGTTCTCCAGCCTCCTAGACACCCATTTGAGGCGTTCCATAACTACTCAAGATTAACGCCACAGCTCTTCGATGAAGTCCTGCAGATGGTGGCCCCAGCAATCGATAGGGAAGTCACCAGTTTCAGGCAACCCCTTTCACCTGGACTGAAACTGGCACAGTGTCACACTTAGGCACCTTGAGGCTGAAGACAACTATGCCTTCGTGCGTATGCCTTTAGGTGTGGAGTGTCCACCATCTCAGAGATGGTTCCAGAAGTGTGACAGGCAATTGTGTTTAGCCTACCTGTGACCCCTGAAGCCTGGACAGCCGTAGCTAACCAGTTTGAACAGAGATGGAAATATCCTACGCCATTGGGGCCCTGTGTGGCGAACACATTTCTATCAAGAAGCCACCTCAAACTGGCAGTCATTTACAAAGGCGTCTTTTCGATACCACTTCTAGCTCGGATGGATGCAGATTACAAATTTGTGTGGATCGAGCTTCCTAGAACAGGACACATGTCAGATGCTATTATATGTGGTGACTCGGGGCTGGTCAACGGCATGGAAGAGGAAGCCCTAGGACTTCCCCCCACCCTGGCGTCTTACTGCAAGCCCTGATGACCACCAAGACATGCCCGTCTTCATTCTTCGCACTCAGGAACTACCTCATAAAGCCATACAGCAGAGAGGACTCTCATGAGGGAGGAGGATGGTGGAAAATGCTTTTGGGATCCTGGCAAATAGATCCAGGTGTCTCCCCATGACACTAGGGCAGATGCCCAATACTGTGAAGGATATAGTGGAGGCGGCAGTGGCTCTACACAACCTATTGAGGCATCTAGGCCACGTGAGGCATCTAGGCATTGCAGCCCAATAGGTGGGCCATGAGGATGAAAACCACCATGTCATCCCAGGCGCATGCAGGACCAAGTGGACTGTCTAGATGTGGATCAACCTCCTGCACCTCGCAAATCAGATCAGAGGGAACTCCTGAAGGCGCAGTTATTCTGATGTCCAGTTCATACATAGGCGCAAGAACTCGTAACAGATCACGAGCGTCCGTGAAAACACGTCAATATTCGTATATACTTGCATTTACCGGTATGAAATCGTATCTGCTCGTGAGTCATTCGTGTCAGGTTGTTAGCGTAACAGATCGTTGGAGATCGCAACACATCTCAACAGAGCGTGGTGTTTGTCTTGTCCACGATTAAATGCGATATGTTGCGCTTTGTAATGATGCAATACTATCTGATGCGATGATCATGATTGACAATTAATTGTGTTGATCGTAGAAATTTTTTGAACCGTCCAAAATTTTACTACGATTAACACGATTGCCACAACTGACCTCAAAATCTGATAAGATTTGATAAGATTGACACGATTAGTCCACAATTAAGACCACGATTTCAGTCGTAGCGCGAATCGTGAAAACGTGAACATAACATTTAGGGTATCCATCACAACAACTACCGTTTCCATTGCCAAGTCTGTGGAAAAGGGTTTCAACGACTGTAGAATTTCGACAGTTCATGCTCTAAAATCCATGCAACTCCGTGGACAGTTACTTCAACGTAAGAGTTCAACTCAATGGACAGTTTGAACACAACTCCATATAAAATGTACAGTTCGTTTTTTCAACGATAAAGGAAATAATACTGACACATTAAAGCCTAAACTGTGAATGAAGACCTAAAATAACTATATCTAAGAATTAACAGCAAAAACAGGCGTGTCTGCTGATGAGGTTGTCATAATTCGTGGTGAAACGATCATTTTCCGCGATCTTGTTTGGATGGTATCCTCGCTTAACGCGCAATTGCAATTTATAGAGAGGGTGTCAAGTTATTATAGAAAGATCTGTAAATTTCTAGACCCGTCTGACAAATGGCAAAACCTGACATGCTTGCAAAATAATGCGCCACATGTTCTTCTTTCACTGTCCAACGAGGAAATGGAGTTACTTTTGGGGCAAGTCCCCATTTCGCGTGGACAGCGCTTCCACCCTGTGTTCTTCATGCGTAACCACTCGTCCCTTTCCGGAACCTGCAAGACGATTCATCCCTTTCCGGAAAATACAAGACGACTCGTCCCTTTCAGGAACCTGCAAGGCGACACGCCCCTTTCCGTAACCTGCAAGATGACTCGCTCCCACTACCAATAAACGTAATGTGCGAAATACGACAAAACTAAAATACGACAAAACGCGTCAGTACTGATCATGAGATCCCTTGATACAAATAGTACCCAGACAAGCTGTGATCAGATTGCCTTGGACGAACATTAATTCCGAGTTTCGGGTGTATGAGATGGCTTTCTACCCTATGACGCTCCCTCCACCAAATCTGCTCATTTGCCTGATGCAGTTGGGTGCAAAACGTTAATTGTGTCGTCTGTAGACACGTTGCCTTCCGAAACGTCGCTTATGAGATTAATCACTGAACCATATGCGCCTCCAGTTTCCACGGTTCCATAGCTGCACCGTGTTACACCACCTGACCCGCCACTTTTGGACGTCTGCTTCGCATACCTGCCTCTCGGAGACGGTTCCTGATTGTCTGGTCGGACCTTCTCCGGGATTCAAACTGTTCTTGTGCTGTGTCACGTGCGGAACGATGGCGGTTATGTACGTCGGTTACCCAGATGTAGCGATTATGGGCTGGTGTGGTGACTCGCGGTCTTCCTGATCTTGGACGGTCATTTGTTGAATTGGAATGCACAAAACAATCTCACAAATGAGTAATTGTGCTGGGATAAGGGTTGAAGGTCATCGCCACGGCACTCTTTGATTCGCCAGCTTGCAATAGTCCGATAGCAATATTTAGGTCGACAGCGTTGAGACGTCCCATTTTCTCATCCAATATTTGCAAAGATTTTGATTGCATTTGCGAGATGGTCTTTGTACTCATGTTTTGCACGTGTAAAGCAATAATTGCGGCCTTTGGTTGTGTTCCATGAGATTTCTTATGAATGTGGAAAGGGTTTTGTCGCTTCTATTTACTGAAGGCGTGTTACAGTGCCCTGGGGGCTTGGCTTGATGCTCATCTTTTCAGTCACTTGTTTGCCTGGTTCGACCGTGGTTATTCACAAGTGGGCATGACAAATAAGTATGTCCGGTGTCAGATACTCTTCAGATGGTTGTGATCTTTTGAGAATATCGTGTTGTGGGAAACTGAAAAACGAGAAGACTGGCAAAATGGTTTTTCAACTTTTATTACAAAATAAACATCATCAAAATAAATATAATATATCAAAACATAATCACGTCCTATAACATTGAGCACATTCTGTCACGCATCAGCCTTATATGATCATAAAATCTCCTTATTTGTGAGCATTAGAAGTAGCACAGCTACTTGCCAAGGTGACGGCAGCCCTCGGAACAGAGCTGTGAGGGACAGTTACCCAGGGCGCAGTTTGTCTTGCACCACGTGACAATTCGGCTATTCCCTGTCCACAGACCGCTAGCTGAGCACCCGGATGTAGCACCACCAGATGGCGTCACGTGGACAGTCTGCACGTGACTGTTAGACGAGAGTATCGCAACGTCTGCGCATCCGTAAAACTGTTCCTGGGGTCCACATCCAACACAGCAGTGGCCACTTGTTTCACATCCCCAAGAGTTGCCTGGTCAGAGGGAGAGGTGCAAATCTATAGGTGTATGTTGAAATTGTCCAGCTCAAAGGATACTGATGTACCAAATAAAAACAACAAAACCTATTTACATATTCATAAAACCGACCTGATTCGTTTTACAATGCTGACCAACTTCATAGATAACAACTTCTTTTTTGTCGTGAGTGCGACGTTTCGATACAGATTCTTTTAAATGCTACTCAAGGAAGTAGAAGTTTTGTTCTTCCCAAGTACGTTACTGGAGTAGAGAGAAAAACAAATGGACCACTGCTTCAATGCATTCTGCCTGTTTTCCATGTTAGATCAAGACAGTGATATTTGTTGTGCAATTGGGCCATTCATGAACAATATGACGTCTGTGTAGTCAGATAAAACAGTTGCTAGCCTCACTTGAATACATCTTTGTAAAATCGTATTTGACGTACAGTCCTGTTATTTCAACGTTTTGATGATGCTTTACATTTTCTCAAAAGAAAAAAGAAATTACTCTCTCGTATAAAGACAAAGACAAGACAGTTCAAGAATACACAATTATGTAGTAAAGAAATTCATGCTTTAATTTTGTTCTAACATATTTTATCATCGTGAAATGTGGCCTTTGTACATACCGAAAGAGAAGCAGATGCGAAACAATAACTAGATTCAGTTCTTGTTAAATCGGTAAACCTACCAGCGTTGTATTTCCACTGCAGGACACACTGAGAACACGTCACTTCCGCCGGAAGTTTAACTTCCATGTTGTATTTGCCTTCACGTGACGTTGTAACGTAAAAGCGCGTGCTACCGTCGGTGTGTTTCAGAACATGTCTGTCCAGACACTTCTGGGTGACGGGGGTGGAGGGGTCGTTGTTGGGGCACAGACGGAACTCAAAATAACCTGAAGTAAGGATAACGGAACATTTATTACGTTGTAAAATATCTGTTAGTTAAGAGCAAAGGGATATCAATGCAACTTCCGGCAACATGTTTTATTTGGGATTACAATTTGATCTCAGTGGGACTTTGGTTGCTTAATCTTCAATAAAAACTGTAAACATTTAAATCAACAAACAACCTGGAGATTGATTTTGGAATGTCCTTGAATGCTAATTAGCTTATCAGTGTTTGCCTTGATGAAGCCTTGTTTTAATTTTGAAGACAAATAACATTTGGCAAACATATCCATATTTGTATTCAATGTTTACATGGCAACAAGAATGAGGGGGCGGTGGTGTAACATAGTGGTTAAAGCGTCAGCTCGTCATGCTGAAGGCCCGGGTTCGATTCTCCACATGGGTAAAATGTGTGAAGCCGATTTCTGGTGTCCCCTGCCGTGATATTGCTGGAATATTGCTAAAGGCGGCGTAAAACCATATCACTCACTCACTCTACAAGAAACAACCTTACCTTTGTGGTTCGCGGTCACATCAATGCTAATTTTGATTGTCTCTCCATGATTGTACTTCCGGACGATGATACCTTTTGCGTACTTCCCTCCAGCCTCGTTCTCGCGGATTCCGTCCCAGGGATCTCCGCACACACCGCACTTCCCCTTGTTCTGTTCCCATTGTCTCTGTAATGGAAACCATGGTTAACACTTAGTTGCACAAACTATTCGATGTGGTAATGTAAACAAATGCCCAATTTCATAGCAGGGCTGAAATACACCTACCACCTGTCATCCATCATGGCACATAGAGAGAGGACATAATGGTAAGTGCGTTTGATAATATTTCAGATATACGTATCAACATATGTTATATTTGTTATACACATACGTTACAGTAGATGGATTCCTTTATAATACAATCAACGAAGTCAGGTCATCAACGAAAGAAGAGATTAAAGAAAATATTTTATGAAACGTGTATTTTCCTATATTTGTATTTGGCTACAGCTATCCTTAGCCTCACCTGGTAACCACCACAATAGAGCTGGTTGTCGTTGTAGTTTGGTGGGGTATTGAAACCAAGTCTCCACATACTGGCTCGAGACGGGGGTTCCAGCAGACGCCCGTGACCCTCCACCAGGGACGGGAGGAGAAGGAGGGACGCCCACAGCACGCAATGAGCTGGAGCAGGAATTTCAAACGAAAACATGTTTGGAGTTAAAAACTTCGCGTCTGTTTCTTCCAAATGTCGTCTGATTTTCAAGTCGACTGTGTCGGACTGTTGAATTTGAATTGTTTGTCGTCTGCTTTATCACACTCTGTCGTCTGATCCAAGTAAGTATGGACCTTCAGTCTGCAGACAATAGGCTTCGTTAGACTCTGGTGTGATTCTGTTCTTGTCTGTGTCTCGAGAGGGTCTGGGGTGCTATATACCCCTGGCTCACCCACATATCTCATTGTTTTCAAAACGATGAAAGCTTCAATGATGATAGCTTTTCCTGAATACTGAGTAATTCATGATGTCATAAAAACAAGCGTGACCTCAAGTCGGACACAGAGCCACAACAACACGCTAAATATATGTCTCTGTGCAAATACCCCGACAATACCCTGCCTCCCCCGTCTATCTTCTACCAACGTCACAACACTATTGGCCCCGTATACCTACCTCGGTCACTACTCTGGACATAGCAACCACACCTGCCAGATCCAGCCAGGTAGATATCAGTAATAACAGTATTTGATTTCTATTCTGTGCAAGTAATAAATTGCAAACCAGGTAACACACAGGTTACCGCTTCAACGCAAGAAATTAACTAGTTTTGTTTATCAGCCAAAGCAGATACCACTGGGTGTAAATGGCGAAATATGGAGAAAATGATATGATCTTGTTCATTGAAGGTCAGTAACAGAACCTGGTGTTCCTGAATAGAGCAACCACTCCCGGGAGCATCTGCTGCTAGAACAACTTGCAGAACTGCATAATCCAAAGATCAATCTGTCCTCATTATTGGTCACGTTAAAAGGACGTGTTATCCTTGATTGGGATCCACCCGTTGAGTTTGTATCACATGTGTGTTTCTCAGACCTGAAACTTTCAGTTACTGGAATACTAAAATGACATTGTAACGTGGAAACACAATTGAGATTAATATATTCATATCTATCAACATAAGATGTCGTTATATCTAATTTGATCATTAGATTTGTACACCTTTCACGCCACACGCACATGATTTCGTTACAATAATTAACGTTTATTCACATATTAAAAAGATGTGTCTCTTGGCAACAAAGTAATTCGCTAATAAATACTTATTTCTTGTGACACAATATTTTAATTGTCTTGTACTTGCTTTGTCTTCAAAACTTCTGTTGACCTGAACGAGTCGCGTGTGTCGCGTCGAAAAAGGTTTCACACTCCACAGCAAATGAATTTGTTAGATATGTTTCTTGACAACAAAGTTATTGGTAATATATATGTTCAATGTGTCTAACACAAACAACACTTATTTCGAAATTGCTGTTAATATGAAAAATATTGCGAAACAATATGGACGTTTCGACATGTTTGTGACGTCTCATGTCGTTTGTTTGTGTCCTTGAAGAAACAGGGCGTGCTTGTTAACCTTCGAACAAGTTCATGGGGGGCATCTCAAAGATCTTGTAACAAGATTCTCATAGACATGAGATGCCTTTCATTTGCCCCTTAGTGTTTATGAATTAATTTATAAACTTCAAGAGACAAATCAACGTGGTTTAAGACAAAATTTCATTTAAGTCTGCTGAACCCAAGGGCGGACAAGCAGTTAGTAAGAGTCGGTAATGAAATATAGACATAATTGATTACAGGTCGAGAGGAAACCCCCTTATGTGTCATTTCCTCTTAGTGTAAATAATGGGACGTGAACCGGGACACTTTCCTGTTGACATATTTCATGAATTTGGAGATCTACATTTCTTTTTCCATCAGATCAAATAGTGTGTGTAAGTGAGATTCCATTCTGAACTTTTGACTATATAATTTATGACAAACAAAACAAAATACTTACAATCCTATTAACAACTTAGTTCCTGTTTATTATTAACTTATACCCAATCTAGTAGAAGTCCTGGGGAGGACTAACAGCATGTGTATAACTGCTTCTTTACAGTGTAAACTTTCTCTGTACACAAAATACCTGTACCCAGACTACCTTAGTGTGGTGAAGTTTGAATGTGGAGGTGATTTCGTCTCACGTTACCTGCTGGCTACTGTTGAACTTTTACCTAATCACAATGACAAACGACCCTTAAACCAACTGTTTGACTGATTCCAGATGGTTGTCAACAGTGGGTAAAAAGAGTTGGTCAGTTGATATACATATCTACAACTTTATGGATACCATTTCTGATTTGTTACATTTCAAAACGTTTCCATGTTGATTCACCAACCAGGAAGTATTATTTTCCCGGCGTTCTTTATCAGCTGGAGAGTCTCTGCGTGGAAACCGTAATATACCAAAACCTGTTATCTACACAAGTGTACGTTGTTTCTTGTAGCCCTAAAACCAGTCTTCTCAAATCTGTGGGTTTTTTTCAGAACACATTACTTTCACCAGTAAATGCTTGTTTCATGTGCAAAACATCACTGTTGCAAACATGGAGACCCCCAGGCAGGAATCCATTTACTCATTCACACTCATACCTATCTAAACGAATTACAGAACATATTCGGCAGAGCTATGTATCCGCTGTATTACTGTATCGTGTATGAAACAATGTAACTATTGCTCGTATGTTTTATATTCTTGAGTTGGAAAAGGTCGTCAAATCGCTCTTACGTCATCAGTGTGGTTGATTATCATTACATACAATAACAGGCAAACTCTATACCAACCAATTCAGACAATGACCCACTTTTCAGCCGATCCGAATTTTCTCGTGTGAAAGTGAAAAAAGACACTACAAACAACCACTAAATTACACTAAATTCCAATTCTTTGTTTCATAAGAAAATGGTATTTACAAATTAACATTAATTTTAAACTTTAAAAAAATCGTATTTCTATATTTCATGTTGAGGTTTTGGCAGCATTTCGTTAACTAAGACGTCACAGACTGCCCGTTTGAAGAGGTCGTACAATGATTCACAATTCATCTGGCTGACTGGTTACACCTGTTGTGTGTTCTTTGCGCTTATTTAATGTATTTTGTAACGTACAATGTGATCGATATAATATCAAGTCCGTACAAGACCGCCATATTTTTCTAGCGGCCGAGACTCGTTTCGAGATATACACGATTTCCAGATTTCCGTTTGTCAGCATTGGTCACCACTCGCCTCGCTATTCGGCTTGTCCCGGAACAACACGAGTGGGTCACGAATGGGTTAGGGGTAGACTCCTATTGTCCGCAACCCTAATGACGCCTAATCAGAACCAACCTTTAAAAGGAAACCGCAGCTCGGCGTCCTGAGACTAGCCGAAAATCGAAAGGTCGGCGTCCTGAGATGACACCGTTCCAAAACGGGGTTCACACAATGTACCCAAGTGGGGGATTGAACCCAGGTTTTCGGCGTGACGGTTTGTCAACAAACTGAGAAGCAAGAGATGTTGACCTCTATGAACTCCTGTCTGAAAACACTGACTTTGTAAACCTAACCCTATGACTTAGCCAATAATATTCGGCCTAGTGGAAGCCTGGTGTAAGTGAACCACAATCTGATCATTAAGAAAGGTCCGAAAACAACTGCCCCGAATGATCAACATCACTGTTTAGTGGAACACCACCTATCAAACAAAGCTTCCTTCTCCCAGGTAAATAGAAACTACAAAACCCTTTCACATTCGAAAGAAATCTCTATTGAAAGCAGAGTCGACTGTACAATTTTGACCATATCAGTATGTGTTTGTTTGGCGCCGCATTCAGTAGTATTACTGTCGTACGACGTGGCCTGTACACAGTAGAGTCTGAACCAGACAATCGAGTTACTGACACTATGAGATACGTTAACAGAGCATGTGTTTATTAATCATTATAAAATAGTAATGATACCAGGTTTTCGCGAAAAGGTGAGCGTATCCTTCCCCACCGGTACCACCCGTCATAACCACATGCTAAGTCTAGTCGATTGTTCTGGGAATCTGGAAATTTCCTCCACATGTCTACTAAAAACGTTTTCAAAGCTTCACCGAGGCCTTGAATGTTGTAACCTTGATCAAACAACTTCTGAGCAAGTTTGACACCACGGAAAAGAAACAAAACATTTTCAACAGCAAGCTCTCAGAAAGGCGGAACAGCCTATCACCTGTTGAGGTACCGAGAGAAATATTATTTTGTAAATTTATTTGTCTCAGCTACATTTCTGCTTTAGCTTTAATTCTTTTAACCGAAACTATCCCTCTTTTCTCTTTTGTTCTTTGCTGATAATTGGATATTAAATTCCAATTCTACAAACCTTAAAACAAAAGCGTCAGTCTTCTCTTCTGTCAAGGCCTTAGGATCATCATTCAAACTTTCTGCCCCAGCCAGGAATATGATAAAAAGAATTTCACATCTGCCAAACACCAAATTTGGTAATACCTTGCCCGTTCAACCATCCAGAAGTGTGTCACTGCTCCTGACTGACCATCCTCATGTTCAAAGTATTACACTTTTATTATTGTTACACAAAGAATAACACAGACACACGAGATTGTCAGGACACTTACATACACTATTAACTGAGTTTTGAGCAAGTAATATCGCCCATGGGGCAATGGAACAGTTTCAAAAGTTGTATGTTCAAAAACATTTTGTTTCATCCTCAGTCCATAAATATAATATAGCATGCTGAATGTTTTCCATCCACGTCAGGGAAAGGGTGATTCTCATCTGTACAGTTTGAATGCTTATTGACAGAAATTCTCAAATTTTCTATAAAAAAAACCCCGAGAAAAATAGGAAACTCGTGCATTCTCATATTCATACTAATACTATTGTAAGTTTAAGATAAACTGCTAGCTTTACCACGTGTCAGCTTTTCACTTATACTTGGGCTAGACTAACTGAAAAGTGGATTATAGAATGCCCACTTTGTGTACAATTATTGAGTTTATATCTGCTTGAGAAACTAATTTTCTCAATAGAATACCTCTGTTCACACACTTTCGTAAAACAATCAATGTGTGGTTTTACCCGACATTTGTACTCAAAGAATTTAGCCATCAATAGTAAGAGGTCAAAAACAGTATCTGTGACAGTATTTGAGTCACACTCAAGAAAAGCTTAAGATTGAATATAAGGTCACATTTCTGTGCCAACCATC